GAGGCTGGCCCGGTTTTGCCCCCCCCCCCCTTCAAAAATAAAATGTGCGCTTCAGATATTCCCATATGCGTGGACTATATAATTTACCTGTTAACTCTTCATTAGGTCTGTATGTTGCTTTATCCACGTGCAATTTAATAGGACAGGGTGTTGGTTGGTGAACGCTTATACCATGATGTGGATACATTGTCAAACACGTTCCATAAGGTGCCCCAGAAGAATAGCCACTCCCTAAAAATTAAAGTCAAAAGATTCGTGCGGAGGGTGAAATGTCAAAAAATTTGGCATGCATATGTTTGGTATCACTCGCGTTACCCATGCTGGGCAAAATCAGTATTGCGTGAACTATGTTCAATAATACTTAATCTATGCGTATACGAAAAGTGCCATTGAGTGTCATGGCGTAATAGAGTGAATTACAGTGCGTCAACAGGCACCGAAATGACACGCCTTGTCACGACTTCTGAGACATTGTGGGAACAAATTTCGTGCAACTGTTAGTGTGGCATAAATCAAACGCTACATCTTGAACAGTCCGCTAGCTTTCAGTTTAACGCAACCTGCCGAAAGTTGCCGAAACATATTTAGAGATAAATTTGATCTTGATTATAATACAGCCCTACAATAGCCGTAATCATTGTGTGTAATCTGACGTAAAATTGGTCATGTATAACCAATTGTCATATATCGAGTAAATACACATGATGGCTCAGTCAGAATTAAAGGAGCATTTCGTTTTTTTTTTGGAATGCGGAAGTAATTGTTTAGCTTAAATTTGTGAAAACTATATAAAAAGTTCAGGTAAACTGTTTAAGTTCGTTTTGCTTTTTAGAAGGTGTATGAAAACTGGAGCGGATTTAAGCAAAATTGTAGAGAAATATGCCTCCTACTGAAGGTTTCAATTAATAATGGCAAACACCAAAAACTAAGTCAAATTGCTTAACTAACAATTAGTAGCCTACTCTCCGTCCAAATTAATCCTTTAAACAAAATTCAGTTTGGTCAAGTAAATACATACATGTAAATAACATATTTTAAAGAAATATTTTCAGGTATAATTTATGACGTGTTTGATAATGAAAATTTACATACTGTCACTTTAATGTATGCACAACAATCGGAAAATGTCCCCTCAAAATTATCTTGTATATGTACAAATATATTTTGTGTGACGCAGAAGCACTTGCATTATATTAATAAGCACACCCATTTCAATACAAATTATTATAAAAATATTACTCACCTTTTGAAATTTGCAAGACAAACATTGCATAAAACATCCACTGGCTTGACATGAACATTTGTGTTTTGAACCTGAAATTATCTTTTTAACAGATATACGATTTCAGTCAACTCTCCGTTAGTTCAATGACTACTAAATGAAGGATGTCATATGACAATTTACAGCTTGAATCAATGCATTAAAACTGTCAAAGTTTTGCCACGTGTTTATCTGTTCCACAAATCAAGTGAGAGGACATTAATTGTTATGCAAATTGAGTTGACAGTGCTTAGTTAAGCGTCATCTAGTGATTTGTAATAATTATGCTATGAAACTAGATTGTATAGATAAAGTCGAACATAGGTATTTATATATATTCTGTTAAATTCAAAAACATTAACACGGGCAGCCCATTAGTTTTGGGCAATTGAAGTAGTTATGAAAGCAAAATTATGTCCAGCTTGTACAGTTTCAATTCCTATCCTACTCTACCTCAGAGTAAAATGGACTGCTCGTATATATGTATGGAATCTTCACCGATTATGCACATAAAAATCACACACACCCACATACACCCTAATACACCGTGAGATATATTGGCACCGTCTAATTTCATATTCGGGCGAGAGATTATTCAAATAAGGTGGACTGGTTGGTGTCTTTATTATTTGATGATACCCGGATGTGCATGGAAATTTTTGTTCGACTAAAGTTTGCGCTATGAAAACCAGACTAAAGGCATTTTTATTGAGGCAATTTCGTATCGACACACATCAAAGTGTGCAATTATACAAGCTAAGCGCCCACAACGATTTGCCTACATTACACATTAGTTCAGCGATTTATCAAAGCAAATCGTGTCTCAGAGCGCTTTGGTACGATATGTTTGAGATTCAATATTGCGGGCAACATTGGCAACAAGTCAAAACAACTCGCTCTAAGATTATAGGAATAAAGACAAATATATATTATTTGAAATTTTCTAATAACAAAGAGAAAGATCTGAAGAAAATATTTTTCCACTGGCAGATTTAACTGTTCAATAATCAGTGTATTGAGATATTTGGAAAGTAAACAAGTAAACATTCAACTGGTTATGTCGATGGTCATTTTTTTTAAGGTGATTTAATTTGAACCGCGTGCTGATAATCGGCCGTCAATAAAAAATTTGATTCAATAAAAAAATCCTCTATATTGTGTTTAAAAACCTACCTGAATATGCTATGAATTGCTTGTGTTTATGTTTTGAAACGTATCCGATCTTTGCACGACTAAAGTGGTTTGAAGAAAACTTAGTGTCATGCATGTCATTTTTATGTCCAGTGTGTTTTATTAATAGCTATAACTGGATTTCTATCAAAAGCAATACTGAAAGCAATGACCCGAATGAATATATCGTTTTCAAATCAGACTGCACTGGAAATGATCCATATACACGATCATATTTTCATTCTTTATAAATAGATGTTTGGAAAATACCCATTTAGAATAAAGAATATGCAAATAATAAAACTTCATAAACGGTACGTAATGGTGGTCTCTGAAATAAAATGGAGGTTATATTACAAAGTATCTTCCATAATCAATCCATAAATTATTTCTCTTTTCTGTTTTTGACGAAAATAAAAGCAGGCCAAGTTAAACTTTCATTTAAAACAAATCATCTCTGGACAAAATAAAAATTTTAGTTAGGGGTGTGGCCGGCCCTCGGTTTTATGCATTCTAGTTGCTCGACCAAGACATTAAACAAACAGCTGCAATTCCAAAGCTATCAAAGATGTAAAGTTGCAATTTAAATTGCATGTACAATCTCTGCCTGCTACGGTATTTTGAGTGCAGGTTTTTAAACGTTTTTTCTCTTGAAAATTCGGGTGATATTTCAAAGTCGCTTTCTCGAAAGATTGAAAAAAATTAGAAATTCTGTTTTCGACCAAAATAAACGAGAGACATGTTAAACTATCACTAGAAACAAAAAATGTACCTTTCGAGTCAAAATTGACCAAGTTGTGGCCATTTTATTATAGAGGTCAAAGCCAAAACATTGACAGACTGCCACTGGAAAATTATTGGAGATGTAAAGTTGCAATTTGATCTGTAGGTGCACACAGATCTGATGTTATTCCAAATTTCAAGTTCCTACCGTAAGAACTCTGCCTGTTACGCCATATTTAGTGCAAGGAAGATTTTTCTATCATTGTAAGTATACAAAGGAAATGAAATGAATGGAGTTTTACATCCTACTATTCTGTACCATGTGGGCTAATGAAGACGGGCCACGCATTGCAGGGTACAACGAGGGAAATTTTGCCAGGACAGCGGCATTAGCCTACTCTTTTTCGATTTCCAACTGTCGAGGGATCTTTAACGTGCACAGCCTGTAGCACACGGGGCCTCGGTTTATTGTCCCATCCGAACGACTAGACGCTTTTTCCATGTCAGCCCCTCTCACCTGCATCACTGACAAAGCAAAGCATTTTCACAAAAGTAAGCCTTTTTTGGCTCAAGAATCACTGCATATCAAATTTGGACTTCCTTTACCTTAGAACTCTGATGTAGGTAAGGAGGTAAGAACTCTGCCTGTTACGCCATATTTAGTGCAAGAAAGATTTTTCTATCATTGTAAGTATACAAAGGAAATGAAATGAATGGAGTTTTACATCCTACTTTTCTGTACCATGTGGGCTAATGAAGACGGGCAACGCCATGCAGGGTACAATGAGGGAAATTTTGCCAGGACAGCGGCATTAGCCTACTCTTTTTCGATTTCCAACTGTCGAGGGATCTTTAACGTGCACAGCCTGTAGCACACGGGGCCTCGGTTTATTGTCCCATCCGAACGACTAGACGCTTTTTCCATGTCAGCCCCCCTCGCCTGCATCACTGACAGGGGGAAACCGGGTTGAAAAATCCGAAGGTATTATCTCGGGATTGAACCCTGGACCTTCAGGTTAGCGAGCAAGCGTCTAACTCACTGAGCCACCGCGGCTCCCGTAAGTATACAAAGGGGCGCTGTGATACATCGAATGTAATTCAGCACTTGCTACTATGTAAGTTTGTATGTTTTTCTATTTTTTATTATCTTGCATTATTGTGTTATTTATTACTCGAAATATGCAGGTGCATCGTTTTTATCTGTAGCATTTTTTATTTTCCCAATACTCCGCTTCATTTTACAGTAATATATTCAATTTTAATTCGTCATAATCCTTAATTATATATTCCCCCACTAACCTCGTTACATTTTTCATTATGCTGCACATTCCCTACAACAGCCACTGACAAGAAGCCAGATATAATAACACCAACCGCCCTGTATTCGATCGAGCCTTACCTCCTACGAACCACCAACCTCCTAACAACCCAACAACTTATGTCCCACAACATCGACGGTCCACCAATAATAACCCAGACTACAAACCAAGAGATAAAACTAAGGGAGGGGTAATCCAAGAACCACGTTCATACTTGGTGAAAACAGACACTTGTGGAACCATCAGAAGAAACCGCAGAGATCTGCTACTACCCGATCAGACTATCAGTGATCAGTCGACGCAACCTCCTACAGTTCCGATGTCAACTCTGATGCCACAACAACCAGATCCGGCAGAGTGATAAATAGACCAGAGAGACTGATAGAAAATGACTGACATATGTTGGACATAATTGTGTTCAGATTATTTCTCAAGACTGTTCTGTTGACTTTAATAGTTTTAACATTGTGTTAAGTTGAAGTGTTTTGAGTTGTAGCAGTATTGTTTTGTTTTATAGACTTTTAACTTTAGAGGGGAGATGTAGTAATTAGTCAATGTACATTGTTGGAGCTGCTTCCCTTTAATTGAATTGTTCATATCAACAAGAGTTGTTTCCCTTCAGTTTTAATAAACATGGCTACCAAAACAACATGTGCCATGTGGGTTTTGACTCATTAAGTTCAAACCTCTTAACCAGAAGTTTGCAGACTATTACATGCCATACATCCAGAAATACTGAAGTATACACAGCCAAATTTATCAGCTTTCTATCACTGATTGCATAGTCGATATATTGAAAAATGTATTGTAAGTTAGTTAAAAGTATTTAATGTCAGTCACCTAAATGCATGCTTATTGCATCTAATCCTTTGCCATAGAGATGCTTACTGCGCCTAATCCTTAGCAATAGAGATACCTACTGCACCTAAATCTTAGCGACAGAAAAATGTATTGCAAGTTAGTTAAAAGTATTTAATGTCAGTCCTTTGCGACAGAGATGCTTACTGCGCCTAATCCTTAGCGACAGAGATACTTACTGCGTCTAATCCTTAGCGAGAATCCTAATCTCACAAGAGGGGACCAGGAAGCCTTGAACCTACTCAAGAAAGACGATATCATAGTTATTAGAAAAAGTAATAAAGGTTCATGTTGTGTCATTTTGAATAGAAAGGATTATATCATAGAAGTGGAGCATCAACTGAATAATCCAAAGCATTATGCTATTTTGCAAGAGTCGATTTTCAACGAAACTTCTTCTATGATCAACACAATTCTTTGCAATTTAGTCCAATCAAGTTATCTTAAACAAAAGCAAGATGACTACCTTTCTGCCAAATCTGATTGTGGTCAGAGACATTGATAAACTTTACCTAAGATGCATAGAAATCCTGCGAAAGAGTGGTTTATCATAACCGGGTCCCGATTATATCTGTGGTAGTGAGTCATATGCAGTGCCAGAATAAATTGCCAACGTCGAGTCTTTTTATCTATGCTAAATGGATAGAACTGGGAGAAAAAACCATCAAAATACTTTTGCCAACTAGAAAATCGAAACTTTATAAACAAATCTGTAACAAAACTATTCGATGACAATAACAAACAAATTACAGAACAAAAAGAACTACTACATTACATCAAAACTTTACATAAAAACTTATACAGTCAAATAGCCTAATTTCGTGGAAACCTATTATTCGTGGATTTCTGGAAATAATTAATAATTGAATTGTCACTAGTTATAATGAATTTATATTAAAGATAAGAGAAGTTAATTATACCACCCGGTATCCATACAACGTGACTAGACTTATTTATAGATCAAACATTGTACACGAAAATAGGTGACGCATTCTGCCGCCGTTGCCGAGTTGGTTGCTCATGAAATATGGGTTAAAGTGAAGGATTCATAAAGAAAATCGAAATAAACCAATTTTAATTGTTTTGTAGAATATCTGAGGAAACATCTAAGACATAATTTTTGTTTTTGTTTTTTTAACTTTGACGAAATTCGGTGTTGAATCCTTATATATCCACGAAAATAGGTTACACCACTGTACAGGAGTAGAGATGACTCTGTAACAGATGTTGACCTCCAAGTATTTTTCACAGACATATTTGTTGAAAAATTAAAAATTGGAGAACCAATTACTAAATCAGAACTATTGAAATCCTTAAAAACACGTAAAAATGAAAAAAGGAACTGATGGTTTTTCATCCCATTACATTGCTCAATACAACCTACAAACACATATAGCTACTGTGCTATCCAATAAGTTAAAACCTGTTTTAAATAAGTTGATAAACGAAACTCAAACCGGCTTTATAGCTGGAAGATACATTGGGGACATTAGGGATATCATACATCAAACAAATCTAGATAATGAAAATGGTGTGCTGCTCATAATCGAATTTGCTGAAGCTTTTGATTCGATTTCCCTAACAGGTCCAAATAATAAATAAAAAGAAAATCGATGCGGGGCAACAGATTGAAATATTTCGTTTCATGTGAAACAAATGACCATTCCGGATGTAAGAAAACTTTAGTTTCGTTTTACAAGTCGTCTTTGTGCAGTTGGGCACGATGCGGCAAGTCGGGCAATGCGGCAAACAAACCCATTAAAAACACGAATAATAATGATATGCAGAAAATGTCACGTGATCTAATTTAATTTCCGTAATATTCAAGGTTACGATTCAGCTAACACGATCCAATGAAGAAAGTCGAAAGATTACGATTCAGCGAACAAGATCCAGTAGTGGAGTTCTAAAGATCACGATTCAGCGAACACGATCCAGTGAAGAAAGTCGAAAGATTACTGTTGTATCGTAAGGACGGCCAAGCGTAGCATAAGCAGGACAGGAAGAATCGAATATAAACAAATAAACTTTAATCATCAAATTCAGACATCATGGCGGTTACATACATGTCTGTACTACTTTCTTGTATTCATACGCATCATAGAAAAACATAGTCCATAAAGGAAAAGCAACTCCAATTAAGTATACGAGTGAGATTAATAAGCAATATAACAATTACGATTCAGTGAACAAGATCCAGTAGTGAAGTTCCAAAGGTTAAATTCGCGTTCTGCGTTCTACAAAGTCTACGGTTAAAATAAGGTTCTAGAAGACTCAAATTGAAAAAGGTAAATAAGATAGGAGATAAAACACGTAAAAATACTTTAATTTTATAAGAGGAGATTTTAAGAATTTACACAATCAGATCTGGATCCGATTTTGAACCAAATACAGTATTTATCATTTTTATCAGTCCTTCCACTGTACTAAGCCTATATTTATATTTCCATTCCTTATTCTTTACAGATTGTTTTTTTTGTATCCAAAGTATTATTGTTAACCATAGATAAAGCGGGCATTGGCTCTGACCAGCTATGTATTGAGCGAAATATTAATGATTGTAAGACGACTTTTATTGCGCCCTTTTGTTTTTATTTTTCGCTTCCATCGATCGGTTTAATTACAGCTGAAACCTTAGCTGAATGTAAACAATTTTGCATTATGGTAATCCTAGCTGTGTTATCTTCGCTTATGCTCCAATTGTTACGCTATGTTTACTATATGATTCGCTTTCCGATGATTCCCTTTTCTATGAAGATTACCCTGGTCGACTACCCATGAGAGAGACTGTTAAGTATAATAATATTTCAATATTTTCAATATCAATAAATCTATGAATCAGAAGTATTGTTTTTATATGTCCACATTATAAAGTGGTCGTGTATTGTCGTCGCCCCTGTCCGTCCGTACGTCCACAATTGGTTTGGGTGGTGGGGGTGGTTTGGGGGGGTGTTACCTGCCCCCCCCCCCCCTCCCCCTCGCAGCACCGAAGGCATGTTTTTCGAGCAAAAATCTCATAGCTAGGTTAGAAGTTCGGGAAACCTCAGGTATTTCGCCCCGTTCGGACGTAAACCTGGCTCCGCCACTGAATTCAACAATATCTTTGACAAATTAGATTTTGGATACGATTTGAAACAGATTGGCGACCGCCTTTGATATACTGAAAATTTATCAGGGAAGTGGGCGTATTTTCCTAGCCAACCACTTTTTTTTATTGAAAACAGTTGTTATATTTATATAGTTAATATAGCTACTAGAGAAAACGATAATCGAGGCTATATCGCATGATTAATGATCGGGAAATGGGAAATTTGATTTCTTTTTGGGACATTCCAATTCTGCGTGCAATGCCTGTGGTTCCTGTAATTACAGAAAGAGTTTACCGGAAATGACGCAGTTCCCGCAAGAGAATTAACTAACCTACCCCAAACTACAATAATGTAATAATATTATGTTATATCCCCTTACAAGATAGCCGCATTTATAACTAAATATTGCTGACTCATTCACATTTAGCTTCACCGTTGCCTTATAAAACTCTTATTTGTGATATGAATGTATATTGCTATTAAACACGTACGTAAATAAAGTTTACCTGTGGTCAAAGGGAAACAATTTTAGTTTGGTGTGGTCTTTATTCAATATTGTGATTCAGCATTGAAAATTTACAACCCACGTGCATAAATTGGAAGAAAACGTGAAATTTAAATTGTTGTTGGTCTTTAAAATATCTTGAACGTAGAAATATGGTTAGTAATAATACCACCAGAGACTGAGAATTATATGTTTATCTCCATTGCAATTAAATTCAATGATGCCAACAGATCCTCATAAATAAATACAATAATGTATCAATTCTATGCAGCGTCGTTGACCAGTTCATGTGTGTTATTTCTAACCATGCGTAGTTTCGTATGTACCGTTTCCAAATTAAATAATATGTAAATATTTTAAAAGATCAATACTTGTTTGATGTATGTGATGTTGTGGTTTCTGAAGACTATTTACAAGACACAAATCAACCCTCAAAATGACGACCTATGGCCTTTAATCCAGTCACTTCAATATTGCAACGTCTAAAATTTTCTTGGTCAGCTATCTGTAGCATAGGCCTACAATTTACGTCTTATTTTTCCGCATCTGATTGGGTGGATGAGGTATTTTTTTTTACAAAATTATGTCCCTTTAATTAGAAGTTGAGTTATGAGAGTCTGAATCACTATCATTATAGTATTTTGTCTCTGTAATCTTTTTATCACTGAAACACGAGAATAAAATTATCACATGATGTTAACATGTGACTGTAAAGATTTGTATATTTATATCAGTAGGCCTAACTATTGAACAAAAATCAACCCTATTGAATATGAATGCTGTTTTGACCCTCATTGGAGTTTGCCTGTTATTCCAGACGATATCTGGTACAGACAATTGGCATTCCTGGAAGAAAAAATATGGAAAAGTTTATTCCAATCCCAAGGAAGAATTATACAGGCGAACAATTTGGCAGAAGAATTTACTCTACGTAAGAAATCACAATGAAAAATCGGATAAAGAATTTCTCCTGCATATTAATCAATTCGCAGACGCTAATATGCATGTAAGTATAGATTGATAAATTGATAATACAAGGGATACAGTCGCCTAAATATTCACTGGTAGTCCATACATCTTAGCTGCTCGTATATGAAAATCTACAGATTCGTCTACACTAATACCCATTCGAAACGACGTATAGTTCATACATTGAAATAGCACAAGATCAAAAGTTTTCGAAATAGCTTCAAAAAGATTAAAGATAGTTTTGATCTATACGTTCGTTTGTTATTTACTTGTAAGAACCATACATAGTTCCGTCTACGCTAACCCCCACTCGCACGAAAACTTCAAAATACCTCATGCAACTTTTGGTAAGAATTAGGAAATGTAAAGACATTTATTTTATTACGATTGGATTGAAGTCAAATCCGTTTCCTTTATCAAAACTTGTTATCTACTGCCGAAAATAAAAGACGTGTATTCTGTTTTTTATTAGATTTTAAACAGAAATTCAAAGTCTCATAGTTTTGAAAGTGTGAGGAAAGAAATTAAAGCCCCAAAAAGCTTTGACTGGCGAAGCAAAGGAGTTATCGGTCCTGTTCACGATCAAGGAAGATTATTCAACGTGAAGGCAATAGTTGCATCTGGTACGTTCATTTGTTATCATGTCGTCACTTTCGAAAAATCTACTTTAATATGAAATATATATAAAACTTAATTTTAGTGGAATTGCAAGAACCACAGACATGTGGCTAAAAACTGGAGAGGTGAAAATCGATCAGTTTCCCCAATACACATAAAAAGCTTTAACAACCTCTTTACAATCTCGGTTACAAAAACTAAAAGTGAAATTTCGAAATGGAGTTTAACTCCTTTCGTTTCTTCATCTGACTGGGTGAATGGGTGACATATTTCCAGTTTGGATTTCCCACTATCGAGAAATGTCGAGTACAGTCTGTAGCACAGGGGAAGCGTTGTTGTCCACCCAACGACTACACTCATGTCAGCCCACCGCCCTGTTCCTGAAGGTATTATTAAACTCTGAACTCTCAGATAAGCGGTAAGCTGCCAATTCACTGAGCCAAAATGGTTGTTATGCTTTTTATTAGAGAACTACTGTACGGATTTAAGTCAATTGTAGAGAAATCGTACGTATTCTAAAGGTTTCAACTAATAATGTCGAGCCAATATAAAGCCAAACGTCTAAACTAGGTCAAACTGCTTAATTAGCTATTAGTACTCTGTTTTAATTAGCCCTTTTAAAACATATTCAGTTTGATCAAGTAAATTCATTGACATAGATGTAAATAGCATACTTCCAGGTATAATTTACGCCGTGTTTCATAATTAAAATGTTTTACAAAAAAGCGGAATACCCCCTTTAAGACTACACCCTAGTACATGCGTTTTTTTATTACAGAGAGTGTAGCAAGTTTACATGCGATACAAACTGGACAACTATTTGATCTGAGTGCTTATGAAATAGACGACTGTGGGTGTGGAATGCAGTTATTTATTAAAGATATATTTGGATGTATTAAAAGGAAGATTGGTGGATTATGTACTAATGTCACATATCACCATCAAGATCAGATTTGTAATAAAGATACTTGTACTCCCATTGCCATGGTAATAACAGAGAGATTAATCCTTGCTTTAAGATCTTAGGCTGCTCGTTACTATTTTTCAAAATATATTCGATTCTATAATGTTTTAAGATCAAATTTCACATTAATGTAATAAAGCTCAGTCTACACGAGAATCAACAGTTGAGCTTTTCTTTGCAGTATTATGGTTCTAGCGCAGACAGTGCGACTTTGGCGCCATTTTGAACAGCTGTAATGGTAACTTATACATACATGTTTTCAATTGGTCGTCTTACGTCGAGCGCACATGTTGAGTCATACAACAATCGAACCAAAAATAACGTAGCAAAAGTTACCAGATGGCGGCGATATTGCAGTTACTGGTTAAGATTGGCTGAATTATATATCCTATAATATCTTTTATTACAGGTTAATGGAACTGGATTTATTCCAGAAGGTGATGAAGACGCCATGTTAGAAGCTATATTAAAGACACCTTTAATGGTAGCTATGGACGCTTCCCAACCTTCTTTTGAACTCTATCAGGCTGGTATTTATAGTGATACCAAATGCAGCCCCGATCATCTTAGTCATATAATGCAGGTGGTTGGATATGGGGAACAAAACGGTAGAAAATATTGGATTTGTAGAAATAGTTGGGGTAAGATTTTAGGTTAAAATTTTTCGTAGTAATGTAGTGATAAGATATACTTCGTGTTGTTTTGCACTTTTGAAGGTGGCGGTGTACATTTCTGGGTCAGGCAAGGTCAAATTTATTTTAAGCTAGATTTCATCTGCATTGTAAACTAACAAGTTTCTAAATTACTTTTAACCAATCAACGCATATCTTGCCTTGTCTTGATAAGAAAGAATGATAGCGAAACCCAAGGTAGAGCAATAAAAACTACGCCAGATTTTCAAGAGAGGATTCTAGCTTACATGACACGCTTTGATTGGTTAAGAATAATGTTACGTAACTGATAGAAAACATGTTAGATTTCAATAAAGACGAGTAATCAGAAAAAATAATTGCAATTTAATTTTAGTTAGATTGGGCCAGATCATGCATGATGTTATAAAATTCAATAAGACCACTCTTTCTACTAGCTATTCTTAGATTAATTTAGATTTCTTTTTTCAGGAAAAGACTGGGGCAATCAAGGTTATGTTTGGGTGGAAAGGGGAACAAATATGTGTGGAATTGCATCATTTGCTATTTTTCCTTATTGAACATTGTCCTGAAGCCTAGAGTCACACCGCTGTCATAGCATAATATCAAACCATTTGCACAACATGTCTGTTGTCGGTACCATGCGATTGTCGTATTTAGTATTATTCGACTATAGAACTATAATGTCGTTGAGTGGTAGTTATGATAAAAAAACGGGTTTTTTTTTCAATATAGAGTTAAATGCTTTTAATTCGCGTGTATGCTCAGTTTAAACCCTCTACCTTAATAGTTTTCGAAATATTACATATAAAAAAAATATTAAATGGCCATATGTGCATCCATTTTTTGACAACAAAGGGTCTATTTTGTACATATGACGTTTCCGGTGTGACGTTTTGCCTTTTTTTGGAAGGTAAATTTGAAGAAAAATGTCAGCTATGACCTTATAGTTCTATGGCGACGTATTTATACCTTTTAAATAAAGTATGTGAAAATTAAGTCTATATGATTACTCTCATTATGGATTAATAGAGCTTAGATTCCTTTTACTCGTAATATAGGCGTATTATATTTCCAAGAGAAAATCCGACTTCGGCAAACAGTCATCAAGAAATTAGCCTATAACAAGTTTTACACCATCGCTACCCTACTATTATTTGTACAAACTATGACAAAAAATGTTTTTCTCATCGTGCAAATCAACACGTTTACATATATGACCAAAACATTTACCACCCGGGCGCATCTTTTCATGCTCAATGGCGTCTCTAGGAAACATCATGTAAGGGGTCCGAGCGAACAGAGCCAAACAATTTTCCAGGGGTGCCAAAAGTTCTTTCACTTTGTAAATTGATAAAAAAATTTAAAGTGGTAGGGCGACCCTGGCTAGCCTTTTAGCTGTAGGGGGTGTGGGGGCGTCAGATATATTCAGAGACACGTTTCTCTGAATTGTGGTGTATATTTTTCACAAATTTGGGCAAAAAAAAAAAATGTTTCCACCTACAAAAAAAATCTAAATGTCCCTGTAAAGATGTGTTTTCTTATTTTTTGAATTATTTGATTAATTGGTGCTTCTAATGAATTATCATGTATTCTAAATCATATTATTATGTTCTTATACTGCATGCAATTAATAAAGAAGCACAAGATATATAGATATACTATTTCTGTTTATATTAACTCAACGTTTCACATGCTCATACAGGCAGCGTTATCAAGAGAAATGAATAATATAACAAGTCTAACAATATATATAGAAAAATAATTAGTAACCATTAGATGTAAGGAAGCTATGATTAAACAAACAATGATTCACCGGAGGTTGATTCTTGGGTTGAGGAAGTCATAGGTTGTAATTCGTTATATATTTCTGTATGTCTTATAAACAATATAATTAATAGTTTTAACTAATCATAAATGTACATGTATGTACTATCTGGGTACACAAAAAAGACTTTTTGACCTTTCTTGATCGGTCACTCATTGCAATTCTGCTGGCATTTCTCTTCTTATTTAGCTAATTATGAATTAATTATGGACTTGTGAGACAAACTGGTATTTTTCCAAGTCATTTTAAAAACTTCTGCCTCCTATTCATTTATAGTAATAGTATTTCCATTTTCATAAATGAAAATACAGGAACCCATCTTTAAGTGACTTTTATGTAGTCTTTTTATCAATTAGCACTCATTCATGTCGCTTCACACCATTTAGGATTAATGACCGAATTATACTATCTTCGACATTATTGATTTTAAAGGTATAGATGCGCCATTTTGCGGGGTTGGTTTTACTCTTGAATCTATGTAAACAGTCTTCAGAAGTCCTAGAAATGTACGAACATTTCCTTAAAAATACTTCAAACTAGGAATTTTACTCTTTATTTCTATAGGGGTCTTTTCTATATACCACATAGTATCTTAAATTGACGAGTCGTCATCTATAAGTGCATGTATATATTTATCATTTAGACTTACCACGAGCCATGACTAAAGAATGCAATGTCTATATAAGACGATATATCCAAGCATGTTTCAAAATTACTTAGTTTATGAATTATTTTTTTTATAGATTTTTTTTAATTATAGAGAGATTCTATTGTATAGTTATGAGTTATGACACAATGTATAAGTCCACTGATGAACAAAGATTCCTTTTGACCAAATTTGAAAATTTGAACTTTTTGGTAGATGTACTATACATTTAACAATCGAATCCCAGAGAAAAGAGATTTGATAACAGCAAATCCGATTCATAAATGAAACGTCAAATCATCTGTTCTACTGAGCTCTGAACTTTGCGTGTTTTGAATTATGATGGACCTGTAATTATATTTTGGTTTACCTGAAATCAATAATTAGCTGTCGCTATTTTCAGTCTAAGCAGTTTTGAGTTACACTGATGTTTTCCACTTGATTACGATTATTTTTCTTTCAATTACCGGTGTCACGAATCAGAAAGGAAATTACAACCTAAATAATAGGTTAATTACTTAATTATTTATTTTCAGTCAAATATTAGCTTCAATATTCATTTTCTGTCAAACATATATATTAAGTTAACTTTATTATTTTTTTTCTATCAAGCATATATATATATTAAGTTAACTTTATTATTTATTTCTCCCTGTCAGTGATGCAGGTACGAGGGACTGACATGGAAAAAGCGTCTAGTCGTTCGGATGGGACAATAAACCGAGGCCCCGTGTGCTACAGGCTGTGCACGTGCAAAGATCCCTCGACAGTTGGAAATCGAAAAAGAGCAGGCTAATACCGCTGTCCTGGCTACTTTGCCAAGAAATGGGATGGTGATACGAGTTGTTGGTGAAGGGGGTTTGGTGACTTTCGGAGTATTATGGTTCTGCCGGGTTTTGTTGATGATCAAGGACATCCTTCATGCAAATGGAAAACTGGCACCCACAATACCTCTGGCACCAAAAGGATGTGTCTACAAAATCACGTGCTCCTGCAATGAAGAATATGTTGGAGAAACAAGACGCCCTCTCAATCTCAGAACGCAAGAACACCTATCCCTAGCACCTACCCAAACATCCGCAGTTTCTGAACACATCAAAAACAACCGACGACACAAAATTGGCAATATCGAAGCCCTTACTAAACACCAAACCAACAAGAAAACGAGACAATTGACCGAAGCCATTCACATAAGGAGATACCAACCGCAACTCAACAGAGATACAGGTGTTTATTTATCACATGTCTATGACCCTTTAATTCAATAAAATAACCCCACCCCAAATTTTGTATTTAGATTGTCACCGGCATCTTACTAGTTTTTTACGTTTTATTTATCATCACATTGTACGATTATAATCACCACCACCCCACCATTATAATCAAGAAGTAATTTACTACATCCCTTTAATGGTTTCTCTAATCACACACCCTTGTGATTACCCCTACATAATTGATTAATGTATTCCTATTGTTTTAATCCTTGTTATTGTTGCCCCACACTATATATCCTGAATGCCTTGTTATTTTGTATCATTGCTTGATAAAGACGAAAGAATCATCGTCGAAACGTCGCAAGTTATTTATTAAAGTAATTGTTATCCATATAATTGTGTTCGTGTTGACACCAGGTATATCTACTGAAGAATATATGTTTAAAATTCTTTAATGTTCCTTTTATGTATTATTCCTTTAAAAAAATATTGAAAAAATTAAAAACACTTTTTATCATTTGCTAAGAAAATAGGTTAATTATTTATTTTTTATCGACAATTTATATCAGGTTTAAATTTTTTCTGTCAAGCATACAGATAATATTTATCATTTATTTAGTTTATTACTTATTGTCTGATAGCTTGCTATAGGCAAGGTTATATACACCCACTGGCACCTTTGATTTTCAATTAGAATATTTGGCAGTACACCAGTGTGATATATTCAGTTTCACTCTTTTATCAGACTTTATAGGGTGATAATGAACAATATTAGCAAGTTTTTATTATGAAATTCGGCAAGAATCGTGACTTCCATAGTGTCTACGAGTTAATAATTGAACAAAGGACATAATCCATATGAATTATTTTTTTTTTAAATATGATTCTTATTTTTTGGGGTTATAAGCAATTTCCGACAAAATCTGTCACAGAGATTGTAAAGAAGTTTCCTTTTCATTAAAAAAAAGAATTTTTCTGTCAACTGTCAACCAAAGGACAACTAACATATTGACGTAGAAATTTGTTATTTGCTGTTAATCAAAGAACAACTTAATTGACGCAGAAATTTGTAGAAACTGTTGCGGTTGCGAAATTTTCCTCGCTTTCTCGTCTTTTTCCTTGCTTTCTCGCCTTTCTCGCCTTTTCCTCGCTTTCTCGACTTCTCGCCTTTGTTACTCTCGCCTTTTTCACCCTTTTCCTTGCCTATTTCGTCGCCTTTTTTTTACCCTCGCTTTCTCGCCTTTTTCCCCGCTTTCTCGCCTTTTTCCTCGCCTTTTTTCATTCATCTTTATCAGTGCACATTTTTTTTTCAAATTGTTGATTTAATTGAATTAATGAAAAATTAAAAAAAAAACATACGAAATTTATTTTGAAAGAATGTTAATCAGAAGTTACACATATTCCTTCAAAATGGTTTTGCTGTTGTTCCATGCATACGGTATTTTGCATTTCGTATTTAAAATCGGTACCCATGTCTGTCCGTTCCCATTATTGGTAATCGAATGAGAATCTAGCATTAAGTCGATTTTTTTTATCAAAGAATAAAAATTGTATATATATGTTTACGAATTGGGATGGGCAACAAACAAATGCGTCTCCTTTTCTATTTTGTAATATTACTATGGTCCCTGGATTCGATATATCAATGAAATAAGTATTCATTTATAATGAAATGATGAATATGCCTACCAACTGACGTCTTATGCCATATTAAACATGATCTTAATTTAGTTTTCAACCAATTATAAATCTTATGGAGTATAGCTTGTAATTTGGTACTAATGACATAGTTACGAAAGCACGGGCACAGGACTTATATCTTAGTGTGTATTTATAGTGTTATCGAATATCTTTACTATTCTTCTATTAAAA